CTGTGGAAATTAAGTGTATTGCAAAGTTGTATTGAGAAGGAGTAAACTAGTGTTATTCAAAAAAGGACTTGTATCGCTGAAGTTTCTCTGCTCGTTTGATAATTTCCGGTAGAAATTCTTCCCGAGAAACTTCAGCGATACAAGTCCTTTCTTAAGTGAAACTAGTTTACTCCTTCTCAATACAACTTTGCAATACACTTAATTTCCACAGTCACTTAAATACACGCTATAATTCTCAACGAACGATTCACGCACTTTACTTTCTACCGCGCTTGACTCAATTGTCCGTCTATATGTTCAACTCTCTGTCCGCTATTCAATTCCGATTGATTGTTTCGCTTTATCTGGCGCACTTATATACAAGAATAGAGGGCGTCTAGCAAATACTGGATTATTTGTTATGTTCCCCGATTGTTCTAGAATCTCAAGACGTGTTACTAGGGTCACGTGACTTCCGCTGTCGTAACAAATTTATATCGGAAATTAACAAACAAGTAGATACGCAACATAGGAATGAAGAACGATTGTGAAAAGAAAAGAATATAAAGGTAACAAAAGTGGGTGATTAAAGTGAACGGGCTAGAGAGGAAAAGGAGTGCGAACCCTGAACAATAAAGTTGTAGACACAAATTGTCATTGTGAGAATAAATATAAAGCAATTGTGAGTCCAAGTATCGAAAAGTCGGGCATGCAATATGAAGGGTTATTAAACTTTAAAGTGTCTACCGATGGGTAGACTAAGCAATTATTTTATTACTAGAACTAACAACAATATTAGGTTATACCCTTCTTTTGCTAAGCAACATGACATAAAAGCCATTGTTTGGAATGTAGTGTTACCAAAAGGCACTGGCTTTTCTACATATTAGATTATTAAAAGTTGTTAATCTAAATGATTTTCCAATAATTATTGTATGAATACGCTACGAATTAATTTCATGAAAGCTCTTACTTTTTATTGGCTGACAAAGGAATTTACTGTTGTTTGACTGCCTGGATTGCACTTTTCTGCCTCTTTGTTGGTCAAGCTTGATTTCGCAAAATGTATTTATTTTAGGTAGCTATAAAATATGAGGTTAAGGTATACTATGGGGTGGGGGTGATAAACTTCCCCCCACCATTTTTGACAGGCTATACGCTGGTATATATATATATACATAGACGTGATTCGGCATGATTCAATTTAGTGCAGCTGACGCACTCCAGGGGCGTGGTATGCGTTAAAACTTTTGAGGTTAGGCTTTGATCCTGTATTTTCTGGACTTCGCTCGAGTTAACCAGTAAAACAAAATTTGAGGTTTTATATTTGATAGTTTTGAACATGCCATATTTGGTTATTTCTACTCAGATCACATTAGTAAGTATGAAACGGAACGTATGTCATGTTTGATTTTTTCCAGTACTTTTTTTTTTACCAGTACAAGTAAGTTGTGTCAATTACAACTTTCAACATTAATTAGTAATACTAACAGCAGTGCTGTAGAAAAGTAAATAGTAGAGCCTTTTAGTTTTACTTAGGCTTATGTGAAAATCATAACTTTCCACAAGTACCATAACAATTAACATATGAAACGAACAACAACCAGAACAAGGAACTATTTGAAGGAGAAGTTAAAAACACCTTTCCGTAAGACTTACAATTTTAATTTTAAGATCAACTTGGTAGCATTACCAGTACCAGTATTACTACTAATAGTTCTTGGAACCACAAATACTTTAATAGTATTTCTTACTCTTAGATCAGTCGTGCTTAAACATTTTATGGCGCCACCTTCCTAAAAATAAAATACATTTTGTTATATCCCCCTGTCTCTTTCTTGAGACTTATGTTACTTTTTGTTACTATATTACTTAATAGTTTTAATATTTGTTTGGTAGATTCAAAACTTCATTATCTTTAACCTTGTAGTTTATATGCTCCTAAAGTAAAGGCTAAAATCATAGTTGCATGCACCCATTTGGGGGGATAGGGGGAGGGTACAGTTTGTGCACTACTGTTTTACTTTTAGATAAGCAGACTAAAATTTCTCATAGCACTCCAGGTGAGGACTAACTGTGATTTATGTAGATATGATATTTCTTCTTGTTTGGTAACCATTATGCCTATAACATAAGGTTCTACTAGCTGTACTACAACCAACAGGGAAAAGCTTCAATGGCTTGAGTGACTTATCCCCCATTCTGCCAAAATTCTGTTCTTCATTCATGATGTTGAGTGGGTTCCCATATACTTTAAACATGTGGTCCAAATTATGATAACACAAGTGCAATATACTGTACTTGAAGATAGTTTACTGCATATTTGCCCAGCTTACCAAATAATCCAATTCTTTTTGAACTACCTCAACATTGTCAGTACTAGAAATACCCAAAAGGTTAATTTCATCACAATACTTTACTAATTATACCGAATATAATTAGTAAAGTATTGTAATGAAATTAACCTCTTTGGTATAACAAGTAAAGTATGCTGATGAAATTAACCTCTTGGGTATAATTAGTAAAGTATTGTGATGAAATTAACCTCCTGGGTATAATTAGTAAAGTACTGTGATAAAATTAACCTCTTGGGTATAATTAGTGAAGTATTGTAATGAAATTAACCTCTTGGGTATAATTAGTAAAGTATTGTAACGAAATTAACCTTTTCAGTATAATTAGTAAAGTATTGTGATGAAATTAACCTCTTCGGTATAATTAGTAAAGTATTGTGATGAAATTAACCTCTTGGTATAATTAGTAAAGTATTGTAATGAAATTAACCTTTTCAGTATAATTAGTAAAGTATTGTAATGAAATTAACCTTTTCAGTATAATTAGTAAAGTATTGTGATGAAATTAACCTCTTCGGTATAATTAGTAAAGTATTGTGATGAAATTAACCTCCCCAAGAGGTTAATTTCATTACAATACTTTACTAATTATACCCAAGAGGTTAATTTCATCACAATACTTTACTAATTATACCCAAGAGGTTAATTTCATCACAATACTTTACTAATTATACCCAGGAGGTTAATTTCATCAGCATACTTTACTAATTATACCAAAGAGGTTAATTTCATCAGCATACTTTACTAATTATACCTAAGAGGTTAATTTTGTCAGTATACTTTACTGATTATATCCTATCAGTATCCTTTAAGTAAAAACAAAAATGAAGTCCTATGTACTGGTCACCTGTGATCTCCACTAGTAAGTTAATAACAAGGGACAGTTTGACTGGATTTTGTTAATAACAACTTTTATTTTCTTCCTTCCTGCCATCTTATAATCCAATTATTTAAGAATTTCCCAAATTTGCCCCATGATACTCTTTAATTCATCGTCCCAATTCATTAATGATGAATCTTTTCTCATGTTATCAAAACTGACTTTCTGAAAATTATGAGCTAAAACTTAATTTTTTTATTTCATCTTCTAACAGAACATCAAACCTAATTATACAATGATGACGCTTTCCTAATTTTTTTTTTACTTCAACTCTTTCATCCATATTCTTATTAGCAATCTAATTATATAAAACTCAAAATCTCTGTTTGTCCACCATGTTAACCATGAAGGACACATTTCTCTCATGTGAAGATGTGCAAAACAACAGTTTTTTTTATATATGTGTCTATCGCCTGCTTGCCGAAACAGTGATTTTATCATTAACAAGGTTTTACATGGTTATGATTCTATGCAGAATTGACATTTTTTGGTAAGTTTGAGATAACATTTAATCTAGAATATAGAATTAGAATAGATAGGCCTATTTAGTTATAAATCATTAATTATAGATCTACTAATTCATATTATATATTTGACCTCACACACAAAAGAAATGTATGCAAAATTAGAATATTATGTGAAAAAGCAAACAGTAGGCCTAGCCTATAAAATACAATTATGCCATCTGCCATAAAATAGACTATGTGAAAAGAGTAAGGATTAAATTATAATACTTATTGCATACAATGAGATTAAAGTCAAGTCAGCATAACTGGTAGAGTGCTTGAACAAGGTGGAAGATGGGTCAAACCTGAAAATTGTATTTGTTTATTTATTATCATCATATTTAGTTATAGTTTATTAATTATACATGTACTAATACATAATATATTTAACCTCATACACAAAAGAAATATATGCAGAATTAACATGTGTGTGAAAAAGCAAACAGTAGGCCTAGCCAAAAAATAAAATTATTACTGGGAGCAATAAAGGGGAACATGTTTTCATCCCACATATCCGATCAGTTCCAACTGATAACATAACATAATGTTTTGGGATAACATGGGACCTATTGGTCTATCCTCTAAACTAAATTAAAATGATTAAAAAAACAACAAAAAAGCCCTTATCATTTATATACTTATCAAGCTTTTTCTTAAACTCTCTTAATGGCTGGAGACGGCTTGAATGGGTAATGAAGAAAAACTTTAATATAACAGCAAATGTACAACATTTCGACAAGGTTTTGTCATCATCAGGTACCTGATGATGACAAAACCTTG